GAGAATCATCCACTCGGTGTTCAGCTAATAAAGACTTGAATTGCAGAGAAAGCTGCCTGCTGCCACACCCTGTATTAAGAAATATCTCACACAGGAATATTTACAAACACCCTTGGCACAGCTCTTTGACTAGGTAACAATGTCTCCTACCCTAATTTGTAAGGTTGGCACATCACTCACATGGCCACCATACTTTTGAGCAAGAGATATTCTGAAATCTGGTTATCCCAAAACAGGAATACCAACCAGAGGCCAACCCATGTGTGGTATGCTCCCACAAAATCAGGGAGGAAGTGAGTCATGCCTGCTTGTATCATTAAAGTAAGGCATGTGTAATGTTTTAAAAGATTTATTATAAATGAATCCCTCCATTGCCATCTGCTCATTTTTTTTTTCTGGTACAGGAACTATTACAAGCCCATTATCAGATTGCCAGTTAACAGCTTTAAAAAGATGTATGTTTGGTGGTGTGTGCAAATAAGTAAAGGAAATGGGAATTTTCCTTTACACACCATATTTGGAATGTTGTTAAGTCATTCTCTTAGTCAGTTGGCCCAAATGCTAGCAGCATAATCCTAAAATGTGGATGCTGCCTTTGAAAGTCCAATTTAATCCACAGATGTGTGTAATGGCACATATAATGGCCTGCTGTAGACTAGGAAGATGCTGAGGATAATCGCAGTGCTGAGGACCAGAAGTAGCAATGCCAGAGCATCTATTTGCTTACTTATTTTAAAAAAATCATCTTCCTGATACCCAGCACTCTATTCATATTTATACCATACCTGCTTTCAAATAAACACCAGAGTTGAAGAGATTTAAAGACTAAGCCTCCAGGGAAAAGCTGTCATGCATGCATATCTCCCTTCTGTAAGAAAGGAAGAGACCCACCTTCATGGCAAGCACTATACCTTTGAATTATGGATATATTTACATTAAACCAAAGAAGTTAAAAAGAGAGAAAGAGATGAGAAAATCCCTAGTAATAAATTTTCAAGTAAATAGTTTAAAATATTTTGAAATATATGTGCTTTGCTTAACTTCTGAATTCCCTTGGTGTCATATTAATAAAAGGCCACAATATTGTAAATACTTAACTAAGAAACTAAAATTGAGTATGCACACATGAAGAAACACTGAGTGTGTTTTGGGGTAATTGCCTGCCTTCCTGAGAAGAAACCCTACCTCCTATTTTAGTATCAGGGACGAAACCCCTCTGTCTAGACTCCTCAGGGAGTTTTGTTTTCCCTGAGCCTGGAAGAGGTAATGTCACTTGCTAATCTCCTAGAGAGATTGAAGACCTCCTCAACTGGGAGCAGCAGCATTGGCTGTCTATTCAGAGGCATTCTGCCCCCTAGTGGACGCCCATGTGGGTTTTGATTCAAGTTGCAGAGGCTTCATTCCTTTCCCACACTCTCCTCTTCTGAAAAACCTCAGGAGGTGCTCCAGTTGAAAGCTTTTGCCTCCTCCACATATGTATGCATTTGGAGCAACAATTTCCATTTATATAATATAAAAATTCTTGGCTTCCAAATCAGACCTAAAATAAAAATTATACGCATCATTGGTGGTTATGACTAAAAGAGGAAAATGAGGTGCTGGGGGAAATAAAGGTGTGGATATGGCTAAAGAATGTGGACTTGAAAAAAAAAACCATAGAACTCTAGGTGAGGAAAGAGGAGTAAATGTGAATAAAAGAAAGGTATAGAAAACTAAACATGTAGCCATTTCTCATTGGCATTATAGCTACTGCAAACCATCTCTTGTGTTCCCCCTTGGACCAGTAATCATCAGTCATAGAGGAGGTTGTGGAAAACTGCTAATCTCAATCATTTCTAATTTAGATGAGCGTTCCCTATCCCAGCTAATTGAAACTTTTACATTCTACTTTCTTGATTTTTTTTATACTGTAGGGTGCATCCCTGTAAAGGGAGAGCACTAGGAAATCATGCTAGTAGAAAGAGGAGGTACCAGTTCTGAATCCCACTCCTCTTCTGAAGTTCAATTTGTTTAGACTTTGAGCTTTGTAACAGCTTACAGCTAAGTATTTTGGAAAGCGATACGCATATGCTACCATGTACGTTTATCGTTGAAACCCAGGACATCCTGGCTCCAGAAGTTGTGTCTCTGGATAGTTCGTGGGTCTTTAGGTAGTGCAGCCCACCCATATGTCATATCCATGTCTGCTTTCACTCAGTTTCTCCTTTCTCTCAGTTTGTATTTTAATCACCACACAGAACCCCAGAATCTTCAGATTCCGGAACACTGAGGAAAGTCTCGTTTTAAAATGCTGATGGAGAACATCGTGATAGTGAAAGTAACATTCCCTCTTTAAATAGTACAAACCCCTCTCAAACTCTTCCTACACACATGACCTGAACTCTCCAAACCATGGGAGTGTGTCTCCATCCACCACACTGTCAGCTGCCATCAGTCATCCTCTGAGGAAGGCTCGAACTTCAAGGCCCCACGGCCCCAGAATCGGGTGATCCAGTCTTCCCACAATAATAGAACTTCCACTAAAGACTTTTAGAACACAAAAAGGACTTTTATTTCATCATTTTACTAAATTTAATTTCCAAGTACACATTTGCTGAGAGGTGGAATACCGAAGGCAATTTTAGACACAAAACTCCACCAAATACACACAGTCCGAGACATTACTGCTTGAGTGAGTTATTGTCCTCTCAGTACTTCCCACTTAAAGAAGAAAAAACTAAGAGAATAGAGAGGAAAAGTGAACAATATTGTTCTATAGGAAATTTGTCAAACTTCTTAAACATTCATTCCATGGGTGCAGTGTCCATTTTTTTTTTAAAAAAGGAAACTCTAATGTTCCTAAAAACACAAGACAATATTGGTATTTTTAGATGAGTATACATTCAGATACTTGTGTGAACGTTTGTGCAATTAAACAATATGGGAAATGGTACTTGTTACCATAGTCAATGAAAATATATTTTCATTTCTATGCAAGTTAAACATTTCCATCTCCCATTTTAAGTTCTGCAAAAAAAAAGCCACGTGCCTTGTTTATGAAACAAACTATGCTCATATGCAGTAGTAACTGAAAAGAAGCTTACCAGTTCTATCTGCATACCCCTGGGATGAATTTACACCTTGCATAATCATGTGCAATGCTGGATGATGATTCTAGGTCTCTTATCACTACAAAGGTTTGCAAGCTTCTATTTGATACACAATGCCCCAAATTCAATCATTTCAGCCAAATACTCAAGCAATAATTAAGGTGAGTGATTTACAAAATGACAAACAACCCATTTGACTAAATTGACCATGTTTTGTTAACATGATGGTGCAATTGCTGTAGTTGCCCTATAAAGAAATCATTTGTAAGTGGCTATTTGTTTCAATTAGTTTTCCCCTAAGGCTCTTAGAAGTTGACTTAATTGCCTCTTGGGCCCCAAGAAAACACAGCTACATGAACAGAAGACCAACATATTAATAATATAAAAACAAATACCATGCCCCATGTGCCTTCCTCCATAGGAGAAATGTCACAAAGCACAAAGAAACTAGGGATCCAGCAGAAATCTATAGGATTATCTAATGCCTAAGATTTTATCTTACTCCAGTGTCAGGTATAATGTTTGTTGAAATTCCCTTTTTTTTTTCCCTACAGTACATGTGAACTTTTGAATAGCATCTTTTCAGAGTCATTACCCAGTGTGAAGGTCTGCACAGTAGGCAAACAGTGTAATTCAGCTCACTACATCTATTGTCTGATGATCTGGACTGGGCAGCTTCACACAGGGAGTGGATCCATTTTATAAAGACAACTTCCTTCTGCAGACAAAAGGTCTCGACTGCAGACAGCCTCTGAAGCAAGGACTGTGAATCTTCTTTGGCATATTAAACATTCCCCATACACATTTGTTCTTAGATGACCTTTCGGGACTGTTTCTTTTCATTAAGAAAGTGCAATCGTTTTTTTTTTTCTCCTTTTAGTATGTGATTTTGCTGTGTTGTGTACCCCTCAGAGTGAATTCAAAATAACCAAGTGCCATCGGAACTTAGAAAGAGAGATACGCTTCAATTATTTGAGATGTTATCATCACTGACATGACAGGTCAGTAACACATTCCCAAGGCTAGAAGGCTTGATGGTTTCCTGGCTGTTTAGGAAGCCTGAGGTTTGGCTCTATGAATTATAAAGAAAATAGGTTCAATTTCAGGCTCGCTAAGCTTTTCTAAATTTGTAATGTGTCATTTTTCTAACTGTTCCTGCCCAAACTTCAATAGTACGAAAAAAACAAGGTGGAGTCTCTCTCTCTCTCTCTCTCTCTTTCTCTCTCTCTCTCCCTCCCTCTCTCCTTCTCCCTCTTCCTCTCCCTCTCTCATGCACACTTTAATATAGTTTGGGGAGTTCTGGCTGCAGTTGAAAGATTTCTGGGCAGGGAAACTTGTTCTTCTGTTTACTTTATCTATTTGCACACAAAGGAATCACAGATGGGAGAGAGTGCAAATGATTATCAAAAAATTGTCTCATGCATTTTAAGAATTTTTTACAAGTCAAAAATATACATCCTCCTATCTCCCCTTTTTATTCCTTAATTGTATAAGAAACAGCATCTATTTCGTCAGTCTCCTCCGTATATCACGGAACTGGATAAGGAATAAAGATACTTTCTTATGAAGGAATTGTATACAACTCGAATCCCTTTGACAAACTCCTCGAACAGCAGCAGTTTGGGCTGAGTCACCCAGCACACCCTCCATTGGTGGGGATTTTACTGTGTAAAATGACTGGTACATGAGATTAGGAAACAACGCAGCCTGCAGACTTTGGCACTAGCACAGGTTATGTTTTGTCTGAGTTGTTAGAGTTGTAGTTTGACAATCACAAAACAGGAATTTAAAAAATTAGAACTCTGCAGAAAACAATCAATCTTAGGTGTTTGTTGATCCTCAGTGTAACACTCCCCATCTCCCGTTCCCACCCACCACCCCCATATATTTTTTTGATTGTAATAAAAATAGAGATCTTAGCATCAGAATTTCACTTTAACCCTTCAAGGTTGCTCTGTGCCATCCCAGCCACATTTAGTGTTTGAAGCACCAAATCCACATGTTTCTCCAACCAAATGTAAATAAACCAATGAAGACTGACAGGTGTCAAAGGAAGTGTTCCAAAATAAACTGTAACACAAAGTTCTCCCCCACATCATAGGGTATTAATTGTCTAGTTCAAGTACTGCCAGGCTGTATGTAGATCTGCCTCAGATAGGCTTCAGACAACACCTACAAGTGCCAAAGGCTTAGAGGACAATGTCCGTGATATAAAACGGGGCAGGGATCCCCCATCCATCATCAGCGTTAAAAAGTTGCAACCTTTTGTGTGATTGGCTGCACGAGGATCTGTGCTGAGCCCGGACTTTGAGGGGAAGAGGTTAACCTCAGCATGGATGCTTTGCAGTTGTTTGAGAAGTTCCCCTTCCAGAGGGCTCTCTCAGAGCTGCCGGGATTCTCGGGATCCATTGCCCTTGCCCAGGAGAGAGAGCCTTGCTTCTACCCAGTAACAGGGAAAGAAGATTTGACCTACCTGTGGAAAGACCCAACTTGGTCCCCAAAGGTCGCCTAGGCGACCCCACTGCCATTGGCAAGTCAACCTGTACACTTAAAGCGTATCAGTTTATGGAATGCTTGTTTGAAGTCCTCATTAGACATAGTGTAGATGATGGGGTTGATGAGGGAGTTAAGATAGCCTAGCCAATTGAAGAAGTCAAAGATGGCCATGTGAAACCAGCAGGCATCCTTGCAGATGGGCATCACCAGGGAGATGATGAAGAAGGGCAGCCAACACACAATAAATGCTCCTAAAATGATCCCTAGGGTCTTGGTGGCTTTGCGCTCCCTAGCGGCCATGAGCTTCTTCTTTTCCAGCAGGGCGTCTGAGATTCGCACTTTGACTTGGTTCACGTACACAGGAGACCCGGACTCACTGGGCACGTCGGGAGCCCGAGAGTTAATAGAGGTGACCGAGGACGTGGACCCAGGGGAGTCTGTTATCAGTTGGGCTCGGGTCAAGCGCTTGCCGGTCTTATTGGGTGTCTGTTTCAAAATCCGAGAGCGGGCTTCCACATAGATGCGGCCATAGAGGGCGATGAGGAGCAGGGTGGGTAAATAGAAAGCGCCCACCGTGGAGTAGACTGTGTAGAGGACGTGGTCGGTGTTCACCAAACAGTCCAGCACCTCCTCCTCTGCTTTGGCTTGACGCCAGAAGAAGGGTGGCAGCGAAATAGAGATGGAGAAGACCCACACCAGCGTTATCATGATGGCCGCCCTTCTGGGAGTCCTTTTAGCGGAATACTCCACCGCATCAGTGATGGCCCAGTAGCGGTCCAGGGCGATGACACAGAGATGCATAATGGAAGCAGTGCAACAGGTGATATCCGACGACAGCCAGAAGTCACAGACCACCTGGCCTAGTGTCCAGCGTCCAGTGACCGTGTACATGGTGCTGATGGGCATCACCAGGATGGATACCAGCAGGTCAGTGACTGCCAGAGAGGCAATCAGGTAGTTAGCCGGGGTGTGCAGCTTCCGGGTCCGATATACCGTGGCGATCACAAAGGCGTTGGAGAGCGTGGTGGCCAAGGTGATGAGAGCCAGTAGTGCAGCCAGCAGGACTTTCCAGGGCATGGCGATGGAGTCCTGGTAAATGTAGCTGTCGGCGCTGCAGTTGTGTGAGAGGTTGACAAGAGGTACCCCTGTCTGGGAGGAGGTAGGAGGCGGCGGGGCGCACTGAACTCCCTGCTCCTCCATGGCTCTCCTCGCCCTGGCTGCGGAGCGCAGCTCTTGAGCATGGAGCGGACGAGGAAAAGAGCAGAGGATGGGAGGATCATGGAGACCATGGGCTAGTCTCCTTTGCTTAGCCAGTTCCGTGGGCTCCTCAGGAACTCGTCCGCCTATGTTCTTAGCCGAAAAGAGAGGTTACAGGCGCGGCCAGCAAGTCAGCGGGCGCGTCCCCTGCACTTCCAGTGCGCCTGGCGCTGCCACCGCGTCTGCCAGCTCCTCTCCACGCCCCGTCTTCACCCGGGTGATTAAAGCACTGGCCCACCCAGTCCAGCTCCGTTCAGGCTCCCTGGAGGCAAACAGTGGAGAAGGCTAAGTATCGTTTGAGGAGAGGTCTCAGGTCAAGTGGTACCTCTTACCCCAATTGTTCAAGGCTTAGCTTCTCCTAACCTGGGCGCTCCGGAATCTGCAGACTCCTCCCGCAGGAGTTTCTTGGTTGTGCAGACCTAAGCTTGCATGCCAGTACAGAGTCCTGGGCTTGCATCCCCGCCCCGGGCCCCCCGCCCAGAGCCGGGCCACTTTGTGTGGCCGCCGCCTGACTTGGGGATTGTGAAGTCTGCGAGTCGAGCGGCGCTAGGCGCCGAAGCTATGCACTCCCTCCCTTTTCACCCGCTGGCCACACCGGCGAGTTGCCCCGTGGAGACGCGGCCACCAGAGGGGAGACTCGGGGGCCCGAGCTGCAGCTGCTCGAGCGTCGCAGCAGCTGTCACCACCTCCCGGGTTCCAGCAGCGCCGCTGGGAGCCACGCCACGGGGCGCACAGGGCTAGGGCACCTGGAGCCGTACACCAGGAGGGGGCGGGTGTCTGGGGGAGCAGGAGGAACCCTGCGTGCGCCAGCCCGGGAGCTGGGTGTGAGAGCCTCAGAGCCAGTGGGGCTCCTTTTATACTATCTGGGTCCAGCCTGTTCTGGCCTTGCAACTCGTGCAGTGCGGCGAGTGCAGACGCCGGCCGCACAGCACCTTCCCTTACGCTTTCTCCCTCCCTCTTTTCCTCCCTCCCAGTTCCATTCCTGGCCACAGAACCCTCCCGCCGGGTCCTACCGCCCTCTCTCGCAGCTTCCGTCACCTTGTCCCTTCTCCCGACCCTGATACTCAGAGTCAGGCGGGGAATGGGGAATGGGACGTCCTGTTCTTGCCTCTGCGGGCTTTGAGTCTTAGCGCTCCGCAGTCAACCCACGCCCTTAGTCTCTGCCACAGACTTAGTGAGGGCGTCCGGGTCTAGGCTTCCGCCTACTACCACCTCCCTCTTTCCTGGAGGTTGGTGGTAGGTGGAGCAAACCCCAATCTCTGAACTCTCCTTTTTGGAATCTAACCCAGCACCAAAGGCCACACCCAGGTTAGAAGGAGGCGCCAGAGATGCTGCCTTAGAAGGAAGCAGTCAGTTTGTGCATTTTATACTTCACGCTTGGGGCTTTGAGATATCTTTAACTCTTAGTACATTAAAAACACATTTTCCTATCTACGTTTAGCAAATTGTCCTTGTCATTCAATCCTCCCTCTTTAACTCAGTGAGTCAACGGGAGAGGAGAAGCTGTCTGCAATATTTAAGACAATGTCATAAAGGGAAGCCAGTTACTGTACGCGAAATTAAATGCTTGACTCCAGTCTCCCGCTCCAGGGGCTCCGCGGCTCTGTGCCCGAGTTTCCAGGGAAGAACTTCTTCCCCTCAGCCGGCCCAGGAAAGAGAATAAAGAGGTCTCTGAGTCTTCATCCCTACTCTCATCACACTGTCTCCTTTGCCCTCCACAAGAGGATGCTACTCAGCCATAGGGGGCAGTAAGCATGGCTGCTAGGAGCACATCCTTGTGCTCGATTTTTTGTTTGTTTTGTTTTCATCTAGTCTGAACAGAACCAAATACAGGGTACACGTGCAAATCAAAAGTTGAAAGGTCTTAAAAACTAAGTAATTTCCAGTATAAGTCCCAAGAGCCTAAGTTTGTGTTTGGTATGTTAGATGGATCCAAGAAAAGCCACAGTATAATTGAATTCATCAGGTTCTTCTCTGCAAGTGTGTTTTTAAAGACTCAAATCATTCAGTCTAGGAGGTGAGCCAGAGATCATCTGCTCTATCGTCCATCCAGTTTAAAGGGGAGAGTAAATTCAGGCCTATATGAGAGACTTTTACCTAAGGTGACATGGTCCCGAACCAAGTTTCCTCCATCCTTGGCCCTCTAAGCCAGGCAAGCAGGCAAATAATAGAATGCGTTAATTGACGCTGGGTATTCTCCGCACTAAGAATATGGAGACGAACAATGCAAATTCAAATCCAGTTTTACAGCAGTTATAATCTAAGAGAGGCAACGAGAGTGAATGATGGCCAGCTACATCACTGTGCTTTCATTTGGCAGTGAGTATGGTGAAGAAAATACAGCTCATTCAAGCTTAAAAAGGGAGCGCCTTATTACTAAGGGGTTTTAGCTGGGTTGCAGTAGATGCTGCGAAAATTAAAAATACCATTTTTTTCTCTGTTCCTTTTCCTAAGGCCAGAAACTTCAAGCATATTAAGCAATTTTTTCAACGGCATTTTAAGGTCCTCCCCTCCCCCAGTCTTCCAACTCCATCCACCCACCTCGGCGCTCAGTTAAAAGCTGTTGAAAAGGGAAGGGAAGCAAGCGAATTTAAACCACTAGGTGGGGGCGTTGACCAGGATGGAGCAAGTGTGTGGTGGAGGGACAAGAACGTGGGTACACTAGAAAACTGTTTTCACTTGCTACTCTAGTCTTTTAGGAGAGAGAGCTAGGGAAGAACTGTTCAACAGACAGGAGACGGAAGAAGAAGAAGAAAAAAAGAAGAATATGAAGAACCACGGCTGTCTTTCCATACCTGTTTCAAAAGAAGGAGACAGAGAAAACAGCTTCTTGATATTGACATTAGATTCTCTAAGCTGACACCTGTGGCAGTCCCATGGAGGACAGCTGATTTGGAGCGTCCCAAACCCCGAGCAGACGCTACTAATTGCAGACAGATTTTGAGTTTGCCTTCCGGTTAGAGCTGCATGAGGATACCACTGTAGACAGAGGGAATTTTGGCAGAGCTCAGTGAACAGTCACAGTTCATTAAGCTGGTTTCTGAATTTCACTCATTCCTTTCAGGATTTAAAACATATAAAAAAAAAGTAGCTGTTTGCACAGCAGTAAATATGTTTGATACAAGAAACTCACCCATTCACCCTGGGCACCAATTCCTGTCTGTTTTGTTCCCAAGTCCCAGCTCATTCAAAGGCACCTTCCTTCAAGCTAGCGGTGCACCTAGAGCTTCAAAGAAGGGTAAAAAATCACTGGGTAGAAAAAGCTCTTAATAGAGATGGCAAGAGAAGAACAGGCAGTGAGTCATTTTGTGGTGGGGGATGAATCACCCTCAAGGGTACTTTCCTACTCAGGGGACTGTGTTGCTCCCACAGGGAAATTCCAGGTGCAGTCTGGGAGGTTTTGATCTTGGTCTAATCATACCAGACCCTGAAGAGAAAGTCCCTCTCCTGGCAACCACAAGGTGTATGTCACAGAACTCAGAATTTGCTGTCCAACACAGTACCTGTCCTCCAGTGAAATCCTAATTGACAAATATCCAAGTGTCAGGTCCTCATCACAGAATGTGGGAACAGATGCTTCTTTAAAGTCTTGCTTTGTCAAATATAAGTACAAGGTCGGGTGTTTTTACTGCAGTGATATTAAATTCCCACTGGTCAAACAGTCAGCAGAGACACCAACAGCAAGCAGCTTTTTCCTAGATGGTAATAGCCCATAGCCAAGGACCTCTCAAGCATTCTCACTATCTCTGAAAGGTGATTGGTATCACTGAAAATGCAGACTCTCCCAAGGGCCTTGTTTCTCTCTATCCTTGTCTTTCAAGAGGAAACTATGGGAATGTTGGGGTAAGAGAAAATGTGCAGTTCTTACAAATTCTGAGTGTTTCAGGATTCTTTCACACATTCATTGGCCTCCATAGTAGGATTGAGAGCTGATATTCGTGTCATAGTACTCTATGCTGTCTAATGGCTGGTATAGATTAGTTCCTAAGAAGGAGCATCTCTGCTGTGTTTCTAGGTATGATGGACAAGCTATATTTACATGGAGAAAAAAAGCAGTGACAAAATTAGAACATATATGTATGTGTATATATGTAATGTATAAAACATATCTATTTACATGACATATTTCTTTCATAATCTAAGACCTGTCTGTAATAATAAACAGTTTCTTAGCCAGTGTTCCATTGTGGTGAAGAGACCCATGGCCATGGAGATTCTTATAAAAAAGAATGCATTTAATTGGGGCTTGCTTACAGTTTCAGAGGTTTATACCATTGTCGTCATGATAGGGAGCATGGAGGCAGGCAGTCAGACATAGTAGCTGAGAGTTCTACATTCATATCTAAAGACAACAGGAAATGAGAGAAACACTAGGCCAGGCTTGAACCTTTGAAATCTCAAAGTCTACCCCTCAGTCGCATACTTCCTCCAATAAGATTACACTTTCTCTAACAAGGCAAGACCACTTAATCTATTTAAACAGTACCATTCCCTGGTGACTAAATATTCAAATACCATAAACCTATGGAAGCCATTTTATTCAAGCCAGCACAGACACAGATACCTGCAACAAATAAAGTAATACTGATCAAAATTTAACTCAGTTCAAACTAGCTTGGTCCCACATAAGGCCTTGGTCTTGATACTAGTAAGCAACACTAGCATAAACTGCTTGTATGATTCGCTCTACCCAGCAGAGAATCTTTCTCCTTGGGAATGGTAGGATTCCTCTGTAAAGAAAAATTCTCTGATGAAAAAGCAATGCCAACTGGATTCCCTAAACTAAAATCAGCTTTTAAGTCAGCAACACCATTGTGAAGCTCTGTTTAGGATGAATTCTGTCTAAAACAAAAACAAATCAGAGCATTTCACGATAAAATTGTCCATCAAGTCTGAAGAAAACAAGAAAAAAATGCCTCCTATATTCAAAATAAGAAATTTGTTCTTTACTTTCAACCCTAAAAAAAAAAAAAAAAAAAAAAGCTTCACTGTGTAGTTTAGGTTTATAGAGAAAACAAGCCAAGCTGTGCTGTACTACTTCTATACCTGTAATTCACGAATAATAACCGTTATCCTTCACTGAGCACTGTGCACTGAGCCATATGCTGTGTGTCCCACACACACGTCTCCTTTAATTGTCACAGCTCTGACAATTGTCGTTATCATTCTCAGTTCCTGGAGGATGAAATTAAGACTTAGAGAATTTAAAGAACTCTGCTACTATCAGACAGATGGCAAGTGCTAAATTGTCCAAACTCAAGTCCCTAAAACTTCTCACTCCATCCCTTCCCCAGTGTTCTGCATGAAAATGGTCCTGCAACTCAGTCCTGGAGGCCATTTTAGCCAGTCTGCCTCCACGGTCTTTCTTTTTTCCCCTCCTCCTCTTTCTCTTCCTCCTCCTCCTCTTCTTCTTGAGACATAACAGCAACAGTTTGTAGCTATTTGAATTTTCAGAATAACCTTATAGATACTTTCACAATTCTGAAAGGGAAGAAGAGTAATAATGTTGATTATGGTTTTAAAATTAAAGTATAAAACTAGTTTACTATGATTATATGTGGATGGCTAATCATGTTACAAGCAGTATTGACTGGTGAATAGAGCTTAATCTTATGTTGAACACTCACGTGAAAGCCAGACTAAAGCCTTACCTATATTTTTGCATATTTATTGTTCAGGGAAGGTTCCTTTTATTTTTTTTTTCTATCTTTATACTCACATAGCCCTTGATGTAAATGCAAACATACACTCTGAATTTTAGAAATCATCAACTTGAATTTGATTGAATGGTGAGGAACAAGTTGCAGAACACTGTGACATTTGCATCTCTAAAATTTAGAATTTAAAATTCTAAAATGACAAAAAAAATGAATTAGTTTTCTTCCGATTTATGTATTGACCTTAACTACTTCTCTTTTTTCCGTACGGCCAAGTAATTCAAAGAAAAAAAAAAATGACTCCTCCTGAGAGGAAAATTATCCAAATAAAGTTATTCAAAAGGTTTAATCAAGCCAGGCATAGTGGTGCATGCCTTTAATCCCAGTACTTGGAGGTGGAAGCAGGCAGTTTTCTGAGTTCAGGGCTAGCCTGATCTACACAGTGAGTTCTGGAACAGTCGGAACTACATAGTGAAACCCTGT